CCTAGGCTGGAGTGCAGTGGCGCAGTCTCAGCTCACTGCAACCTCCACTTCCCGGGTTCAAGCGACTCTCCTGCCTCAAGCCTCCTGAGTAGCTGGGATTACAGGCATGTGCCACCATGCCTGGCTAATTTTGTATTTTTAGTAGAGACAGGGTTTCTCCATGTTGGTCAGGCTGGTCTCAAACTCCTGACCTCAGGTGATCCGCCTGCCTCAGCCTCCCAAAGTGCTGGGATTATAGGCGTGAGCCACCGCGCCCAGCCTGTTTTGTCTCTCTTGACGCACACACTGCACATGTTACTTGTCATGAGTGTTCATGTGTTTCTTCCCCACCAGATTGCTAGCTCCTAGAGAGCAGAACCTGGGTCTCAGCCATTGCAATTGCCACAGCACCTGGTACATGGAAAGTGCCCAGCCAAGGTGTGTGGTTGCTGAACAAAGAGATCCTGCCATGAATCCATTTGTAAGTGCAATGTTCTTTTGGAACAGAGAGTACTAATTCCTTCATGTAATTTACTGAGGACTAGGATCCCCAGGATGAAGGAACTAAAGAGCAATGAAGCCCTCCTCTTGTTCATTGAGGTTAAGTGAAATTTCAGATCCAAGCACTTAGAGAAAGAGCAAAGAAAGCATCTTTGGAGGTAGGGGATCTTACAGGAGTTCCCAATCTCTCTGTCTCTCTTTCTCACTCTCTCATTGTCTCTCTCTCTCTCTCACACACACACTCTCTCTCTCTCTCTCTCCACCGTAAGAAAGAAACACTCTCCTTGCTTATACCTCCAGCTCTACCCCAAACTTCTACCCTTGAGACTCCCCAGACACATTGCAAGTTATCACAAAGACTGGTTGGCACTGACAGCCAAGCTTTTTGGCTCGAACAGACCCTTGTTTAAGAGACATAAGCCGGGCATAGTGGCTCATCCTATAATCCCAGCACTTTGGGAAGCCAAAGAGAAAGGAGGATTGCTTGAGCTCAGGAGTTTGAGACCAGCCAGGGAAACATAGAAAGACCTCATCTCTATTAAAAATAAAAATAGAAAAATTAGCCAGTGTGGTGCCATGTGTGCTTATATTTTCAGCTACTCAAGAAACTGAGGTGGGAGGATCGCTTGAGCCAGGGAGATTGACACTGTGGTGAGCTATTATTGCTCCACTGCTCTCCAGCCTGGGCCCTGTGTCGAGAACAAATAAAATGAAAGAGACATAGATTGTCCTGCTTCTCAGACACATTTTTGTCTAACACTGAGGTCCAGGAGATGAGGGCCGTTATAGTCAACCTCGTGCATCTCAAGAGACCAAACATTAACCCCAACACACCTGGGTTGAGGTGGGGATTGAGGAGGACAACTGAGATTTCAGGTCCCTATCAGCAGGGTTGGGTTGGCTGGGGAAGAAAGGGGAGAGAATACACATGGGGAGTGGGATTTGGGCTGAGGCCCACAGATGAGGATGCCTCAAAAGCTAAAGGGTGAGGACTCCGCACAGGTGATCTCTCCTGGGGCCTAGACATGCCTGCTAGCTGCAGTACCCAATCTGCATTCTTAATGGACCAAATGATTTGGGAGACAGCATGCTTGCTCTGAGGCTCTGTTTCCCTGCCTCTGAAATGAGGGGAACTTTCTCTACCCCGCCTCACTCTCTATTGCTTTATGTTCCGTGTGAGCAGGCTGAATAAAATAATGTCGGGAACATGTTTGGTCTCTTGAGATGCACGAAGTTGACTATAATGGCCACACATGCCACCATACTGGGCTAATTTTTCTATTTTTATTTAAGTAGAGACGAGGTTTTGCTATGTTTCCCCGGCTGGTCTCAAACTCCTGAGTTCAAGCAATCCTCCTTCCTCCTAGGCCTCCCAAAGTGCTGAGATTACAGGTGTGTAACTTGCCAGCAACTAGGCATATATTAAACCTGCAGCCATGCTGCATGAGGCCTATCTTACCCCATCCCATTCATGCTATCTGCAGTCTCACATGGGCAATGCCCCTGTACCAACAAAGGCAAACAGCATGTAAGGTGGTTGGGAAAACTAGCTAGATCTCCAGAGTGCTGGGAGGAGAAGAAGAGGGAAAAGAGGCCGCCCCCAGAGCTACCTATGACTGATTTTCTTCTCTTCTGGTTTCCACCCTGTAAAATGGATCTCCCTTTCCCACCCCCAACTCTACCTCTGGAAGGTTCCAAGCTCCAATCAGAGCAAGGTCAGAGTTGATCATGGAGGTTGGGGGCATGTAGGCAAAGCCTGGATATGCTCTTGGCAGGTGTGGCCAAGGGGATCTATCCTTGAGCCCAAGACTTCCTGTCCATCGCGTTTGAATCACACCTCTCTGCCACTTTTTAGCTGTGTGTGTCCTTGGGCAGCTCACTTAACTTCTGGACCTCATTTCCTTGACCTGTGAAAGGGGTTCCGAAGAACGAGAACCCACAGGTACTCAGTATCTTTAAGGAGGTCTGATCCTCCCAGGCTCCCACCTGGGGCAATGGTTGTCACGTCCCATGTACATTCCCCTGCCCGTCTAGGTGAGGGTTATCAAGTTGCAGATGGAGGAGAGAGCAGGGCCCCAAGTGCAGTGGAGAGGGAGGGGTGGGACTCTTGTGACCTACCATGGGAATGTTTTAAAACCCTCCTCCCATCGAGCTTTTGAAAAAATGATGATCCAGGAAAGCAGCAACTGCGTCTGCTCCATTAGCAAGCGAAGGAGACGCAGCCGCCTCAGCCTTAGGGCTCTCGTAGCTGGAAATCCAGCCAGCCCTAGCTATAGGGACTGGGGGAGGTGTGAGCCAAGGGGCTGGGAGCCCAGGGACGCATGGAGGACAATGTAGGTGAGTTGGGCTCTTGGTGGGGCGGTCATTGGGCAACATATCCGGAGTTGGGGAGGGACTCCCAGGAGAGATGAAGTCAAGATTTAGTTCTGGGTTCTCTCACCAACGCAGCTCCCAGAAGGGGTGGTCTAGGGTGCGGAATTGACTTTGGTCCCCACACTGGGATTTGGTGGGGATCGGAGCGCAGGGAAGAAGCACATGCACCATGTGGCACATGGTCAGTGCAGGGAATGGAACCTGGGAATGCTGAAATCTCAGGGGTGTGGCTGCAATGGGTCAGTGGTCAAGGCCCTTCTCATGGGTGGCCAGCTGGTTAGCTGTATAGTCAGTGTACAGCCTTGCTCTGTGCTACAGGCCGAGGTCAGCAGCTCAGGGCCCTTATGAGGCTTTGAGCAGGTCCACACTCTACTTCTCGTCCTGCATGGCATTGTCACAGATTCACATGACTGACCAGTAGAGGGGTGGCTAGATATAAGGAGGATAGCAAAGTCAGTCGACTCTCATCTCTGCTGAGAAAAGATTCTGACTACTGGCCTGAAGCCAGGATAAAGCATGGTGCTGTCTTCTGGTCTTAAAGAGCACTTGCTTCTCCACCTGCCTGCAGTTCCTAGATTTTGTCCTATCCTCATTTTGCAGACTGGACATGGAGAGGCTGAGTAATTTACCCAGATTCTTACAGCTGCAAGTAGCACCTGCTTACACTCTCCGAATTCCCGTTATGAAAGTCCTTCTCTGTGCTTCCTGTGGGGCTGTCCTTGGCATGCTGGGGCTGGGTGCTGGACAGGGTGCCCTTAGTGGGAGACTGTGGGCAAGTAGAGGGTGACTCAGAGGGTCCCTCAATATGTGGCCTGGTGGGTGGGCAGGGAGCGACATGAGCTAGATGAGGAAGAGGCAGGAGGCAGGCAAGCCCTGGGTGTGGCCCTCCAGGCTTAGGCCGTGGGCAGCCACTGGAGAAGCAGAGGTGAGCTGGTTGTAGTTCCCTGGGCACACATGGCTTTGCCGTCCTTCTGCTGGACAGGGTGCTTTAGCTCATCAAATAATGGTATCAAGTCATTAAAGTACAAATTAGAGAAAAGGATACGGGGGTCTTAGCACTTTCCTTGTAGAATAATTTCTTGTGGAGTTTATTTCATTTATTGCAGAGCAATCCAATAAGCCCTGACTCTCATGGTCACTTCAAACTGGAGTTTTAGAAATCCATCAATGCTCAAGGGTCTACACTGACTTCTTCTTATAGCTTAGGCTGTAATTGGTCCCAGACCACGGAGTCAAAGGTCTGGGAAAGGTCAGCAACAGCTATAAACAATTCCATGCAGTTGCTTACGGCTTTCTCCATAATATGAAAGGGGGGATCCCCGGGATCTCAAGGGAACCGGCCATGCTTTGGTGGTCTTTTCTCTGTCCAAAATGTCCTTTGTCTTTTCTTTTTCTTCATCCAATGCCAATACACCCTTTGAGAGTCAAACTGACTATTTTCATTGTACATAAATCTTTGTTCCCATCTATAATCATTTTCCTAGCGCACATTTTTAGATCTGGCATTGTTCCCACTTTTTTTTTTTTGAGACAGAGTCTTGCTCTGTCATTCAGGTTGGGGTGCAGTGGTGTGATCTCGGCTCACTGCAACCTCCGCCTCCCAAGCGATTCTCCTACCTCAGCCTCCCAAGTAGCTGGGACTACAGGCATGTGCCACCATGCCCAGCTATTTTTTTTTCTTTTTTTGTATTTTTAGTAGAGATGGGGGTTCACCATATTGGCCAAGCTGGTCTTGAACTCCTGACCTCAGGTGATCCACCTGCCTCAGCCTCCTGAAGTGCTGGGATTACAGATGTGAGCCACTGCACCCAGCCTCATGGCCATATACTCTTACCAACACTGGATATTTTAATTTTCTATGATATAGTAAATTTGATAGCAACAAATGATAACTTATTTAATTGCATCTCTTCAATTTCTAATGACGACTTTGGTTTCTGTTTTGTTTTGGCCTATTGTATTTACTCTTTTGCAGTTTTGTTGTTCACAGGGTCTCACTCTGTCGCCTGGGTTGGAGTGCAGTGACACGATCTCAGCTCACTGCAACCTCTGCCCTCCAGGCTCAAGCAGTCCTCCGGCCTTGGCCTCCTGAGTAGATGGGAGTACAGGCACACAGTACCACACCCAGCTAATTTTAATTATTTATTTATTTTTTGTAGAGATGAGGTTTCACCATGTTGTCCAGACTGGTTGTCAAATTCCTGGACTCTGATCCTCCCCAGCTGGCCTCCAAAGTGCTAGGATTATTGGTGTGAGCCACTGTGCCCTGCCTGCCCTTTATTCTCTAGGGAGCTTGCTTTTAAATATTGATTTGGTAAAGCTCCCTATATGTAAAGGTATTAATTCCTTGTTTTGCATACCTGTTGCAAGTATTTTTATAGTTTATTTATTTATTTATTTGAGATGGAGTCTCGCTTTGTCACCAGGCTGGAGTGCAGTGGCATGATCTCAGTTCACTGCAAACTCCGCCTCCCAGGTTCAAGTGATTCCCCTGACTCAGCCTCCTGAGTAGCTGAGACTACAGGCACCTGCTACCACACCCATCTAATTTTTTCATTTTTAGTAGAGACGGGGTTTCACCATGTTGGTTAGGATGGTCTCGATCTCCTGACCTCAAGTGATCCGCCCGCCTCGGCCTCCCAAAGTGCTGGGATTGCAGATATGAGCCACTGTGCCTGGCCTTTTTATAGTTTATTGATGTCTTGAACCTTTTGAAAAGGTTTTTTGCCCATGCAGAGATTTTAATTTTTATGTACTCATGTCTATCAGTGTTTTACTTTATGATTTCTGCCTTTGATGTCATATTTAGAAAGGCCTCTCCCACGACAAAATTATGGAAACGTTCATGCATGTGTTCTAAAAATTCTTTTATGGCTTCACTTTTTAACCTTTAACTCTTTAATCTATCTGGAATTGATTGTATCTTTGTAAACTGCTTTAAATTCCCTTTGAAATGGAAGTGATTAATTCATTAATTAACATGGCGAGGAGGGGAAGCTGGTGAAAGGGGAGGGGTTGAAGATACAGGAGAGAAAGGGGGTAATGAATGAGTCAAGGTCTGGAAGAGAAGAGATCAAGTGCTGTTGACAGGGGCTACACAGGGAGCTGCCCTGATCCAAAGGTGGGACATTAGGTCTCTTTTAGACGAGGGTGGCAGAGGTAGCAGAGGTCAGTTTTGCCAGGGTGGGAGGTGAGTAGGGAACGGGCTAGAGAGGAAGGCTGTGAGCCAAGTACCAAGTGCCCAGTGACTATGGGGGTGGGGTTAGTAGGGAGGGAACGGGGAATGGCAGCAGCCTCAAGGGGTGGCATTTGCCAGTTTACGAGTTTATGATTTGGGGGGATTGTGATTAGCTCTCCCACCCTTGGGCCCCAACAGCATGTAGAGGAAGGTTGCACCCCACTGGAGAGGATGCTGTAAGGAGAGACAGGGCCAGCTGTAGTGATGAGCGGAAGGAACTCGCAAGGGAGAGGCTGAGAGCATGAGGAGCTTGTTTAGTGTGAAGGGCATTCTAGACTCGGGGTACCAGGAGAGACCTGAGAGGGAGAGGTTGTGAGAAGGAGAGTCTGTCCCGGATCAGTGAACAGGAACAGAGTCAAAGAAAGTTAAATGAAGCCCATTTGTACAGCACATGGCAGTTCACAAAGCACCTTCCCAGATGTGCTTGCAGATGAACCTCGTAACAGCTTTTCAGAGCAGAGAGGGAAAGGGATTTGCCCAGAGTCCGACAGGTAGCTAGTGACCCAGTCACGATGCGAACCAGGAGTGCCAGTGCCCAGCCTGGGTGCTCGAGCCTCCTCACAGACCCCAACATCCTCTTTCTAACTTAGGGATGGAAGCTTGGGGGGGCATGCCTGACCGTCTTTTTTTGTCCCGTCTCCCTGCAGGACAGTAGCCCACCCTTCCAGCCTTTTGGACAATGAATGGGATGGCCAATGTGAATCCCACCAGCCGCCTTCACTATGCCTCCTCCATCCCTGTGCCTCGTGCTTCTTCCCAGACCAGGATTCCTACACCGGGTGCTTCTCCCCAGCTGCGGCCCCGCCAGGCCGGCCTGGCCCTGAGCCCACAGAGAGCGGCCTCCCCAAGACTGGGAAAGGCTGCAGGTCATTCTAGAAACTCCTCTCCTAGGGCCTCCCAGGGGAGAGGCTCTCCCAAGCCTGTTGGGGCAGTGAGGGAGTCAGCTGAGGATGGGGAAGTTCCCTCCAGTTCCCCGTGGAGTAGTCCCAGGACAACACCGAAAGCAGCCCTCTCCAGCCGGGCTGGATCCAGAAGACTTGGCGAGAGACAAGGCACCCAGGGAAAGAAGAAGAAAGCCCAGGAAGGGCTCCCCGTCCGCCAGACCCGGGGCAGGAGCCCTTCTCGGATGAACTTTCACGGAGAAACACAAATACCAGGGGCTCTGGAAGGTCGGAAGCCTCCAAGCTGCCCAGGAAAAGACCAAAGAGATATAAACTACAAAAGTTCTGGGACCCCCAGGTCTTTGGAGCCTGATGAGGGGGCAGCTTCATGGGCTTCCTCTCCAGTCTGCAGCCCAGTGCAGGGCAAACGCCCCTGTCCTGCTCCAGGGGCCATTAGCTTCTCCTCGGCCCATCAGCAGAGTCAGCCAGTCACAGCTACGGTGGCCCCCTTCCAGTACAGGTGAGCTGGGGAGCAGGCAGGGAGGGAAGGAGGAGGAACCATGCTGGGACCAAGGTGCAAGCCTGAAGAGGACAGGGGCCCTGATGATCAGTGGCTGGTAAAGACCAGAGGGCCCCAGGGGATAGAATAAGGGTGAGGCAGGTGGAGGCCTACAGAGCTGGGGGCTTGGAGAGCTGAGATGGGATTGGGGCCATAATGAGGTCCCTAACCCAAGCTCTGGTCTTTCTTGACTCTGGGGAATCCACAACAAAAAGAGGCTCACAAGAAGGGTACCTTAAAATGTCCATTTTTGCTCTCTGGGACATAATGAAACAATTTACAGATTGGGGAGCCGTAGAAGTGTAAGTAGCTAGATACATAGGTAGCATCAGTCTCACCCAAGTGAATGTGGGACATGTGCCAGCACTGTGAGTTAGACCAACTCTATTGGCTTGGGCACTGCTCCTTCAGTTCGTGGTAGGTAGGTGCCTTGTAGGTAGGTAGGTAGGCCCTTACTATATGGTGCCTTGTGCATATCTGCTTATGTGCCTAGCATATCAGTAGTTAGTAACGCTTCGTAAACACACAGATGGGTGTTGCCATCATTGTTGGTGGAGGTGGCCAGACCAGTGTTCACAACAAGATGGTCAACAAGCTAGTATGTCCAGCTTTTCCCAGACACAGCAAATTGATGGCATAGAAAAACACGTAGTCAACTATCCTCTTTTTTATGACCTCATTAAGAACACCACATTTCGGTGGCTCAAGCCTGTAATCCCAGCACTTTGGGAGGCCGAGGCGGGTGGATCACGAGGTCAAGAGATCGAGACCATCCTGGTCAACATGGTGAAACCCCGTCTCTACTAAAAATACAAAAAATTAGCTGGGCATGGTGGCGCGTGCCTGTAATCCCAGCTACTCAGGAGGCTGAGGCAGGAGAATTGCCTGAACCCAGGAGGCGGAGGTTGTGGTGAGCCGAGATCGCGCCATTGCACTCCAGCCTGGGTAACAAGAGCGAAACTCTGTCTCAAAAAAAAAAAAAAGAACACCACATTTTAATTACTAATTATTTTATAGTTTAGAAATGCCCAAATGCAAATTAAGCATTTTCCTGACTAAACTAACTGTCTATATTTTTCCCCTATGCTAATGGAAGGAGAAACTCTCACTTATATTTTGGGTGTAGAAAAGTTTGTACAGCATCCCCTACACACCAGGGGCCTCTGAGGCATCAGAGCGGCTGCAGGTGGGAGTAGGGAACCACTAGGAGCTTTAACCTTCAATAGAAGGCAACTTGTGTATCTTGATCTCTGAAAAATTGAATGCAATCTTATATTACAAGAATAGGTGTTTGGAGTTCAGGACAAGGAGGTGAATAGTCCCACTACATTTTGCATGTGTTCAGGCTTCATTTAGAGTGTTACATGCAGTTATGAACACCACATTTTAAAAGGACACTGACATACAAAAACACATGGAGAGCAAGACTGACGTGTTACTGGGGGATCCAAAAAAGGTGTTACAGGATGATGAAAGGAACTGAAGAAGTTTGCTTTGGAAAGGGAAGGCTTAGAGAGGATCTGAGAACTGTTTTCAAATATTTGAAGGGCTGTCATGTTGTAAGATGAATTAGATTTACTTGGTGCAGCTCCAAAGACCTGACTCAACACCATGGTGGTTAGAAGTTAGTTCAAGACAGATTTGAGGCTCAAGAGGAAGAACTTTCCAAAAACTAGAGAGGATTACAAATTGACCGGAAGGCAGTGAACTCCCTGTTATTGCAAGAATTCTAGCTGACTCCACAGCCAAAGGGAGCTCCTACCAGGGTGGCCCCTGGCTCTCAAAGCATATCTTCTGCCTGACTGTACTGCCCGCAAGGCGCACCGATGCTTCTTTTCCTAAGGGACAATTCACTTCTGTCCCCTGTGACTTTCTTCAGTTAGATTCTGAAGGTGATGAGAGACTCAAGAAGCAGAAGTGCAGGGCAGGCCTGCCTTTGAATGGCTTTTTCCGATTAGTAAAATATTTCCCTGGTGACCCTTTGACTTTCTTCTCCTACCTGATTCCCTCCATTTTGAATTCATTCTTTGGGGAAAAGTGTCTAGGCATTAAATTGCTTAAGATTTTACATTATCTACCTTACAAGTCCCCTGGTATATTCAGAACCTGACATTTTCCAAAGAGGTCAGAATTTTTCCTCCAAATACTTTAATGCAACTTAAACAGAACCATGTTTCCTTCACTCAGCAAACATTTATTGCATGTTTGCATTTTAAACAGAAATAGAAATGTGTCACACCACCCTACCTCCTAGACCCTGCCCCTTTCAGCCTCTGGATTAGGGTTGGAGAGAGGATCACAGCACAAGCAAGGGTGAGATTAGGACCAAGGACACTCTGAGATGCTGCAGGCCAACGGGTGGGCACCCAGCACAGCCTGCAGGGCCTAGAGCTGCTGCCATGGCAGCTCTGCCAAGGGCCAGGCTGGGCCACCCGTCCAAACTTCATAGCCAAGGAGGTGCCATCTGCTCCCTAGAATCCACAAACATCCTGTTTTCGTGGAAATCTCTCCTCCTGCCCCGCCACCCACCCCAACACCTTAGCCTTCTGCAAAGCCGCAGTGGAATGCAGAAGCAGAGGTCACCTGCCTCCCTCCCCTTCTCCAGCCTGGTCATGCCTGACCTGCTTCTCCAGGAAATGAATCTGGCAGCCATCTTTTCCCCTGCCCCATCCTCCACAGCCGTCTCTTTTCAAGGGCCTGGGTATGGCCTTCCCAGTGAAGCTCATCTCCTCTCATTCACCACCTCCCTTTGGACCCAGAGAAGGTGCAATGCCCCGTCTGCTCTCAGGACACCCTGGTCTCACACATCTAATTCCATCACATCCTCAACCTTATCCCTCTCTGTCATCCTAGAAAAGAGCCACAGCAGCTTCAACACAGCCCTTGCTGACTTTTCCCAACTACCAAGTGCACCCTCCACCACTTCCCTAGCCCCCAACAATTCTCTTCTTCCTGCATCGGGTGGGCCTTGGGTTGGACTTCAATTAAAAATATGGTTAATGATATTAGGAGCATAAGCTTACTGGTGTCACCACTGCAATTTTCTTCTCTCTG